TGCACACTTCTTGTCTATCTTAAAATTTGTGCAGTTAGATTCTAAATAGTACAGAGGATCAGAATAACAGAATAATAGAGTTGGAAGGGACCCTGGGGGTCTTCTTGTCCACCCCCCTCCTCAAGCAGGAGATAGCATGTTGGATAAATGGCTGTCCAATTTCTTCTTAAAAACCTCCGCTGATGGAGCACCCACAACTTTTGAACGCAAGCCATTCCACTGATGAATTGTTCTGTTAGGAAATGTCTCCTTAGTTCCAGGTTGCTTCTCTCCTTGTTTAGTTCCCATCCGTTGCTCCTTGTCCTGCCTTCCGGTGCTTTGGAGAATAGCTTGACCCCCTCTTCTTTGGGGCAGCCCCTCAAAGAGTGGAACACCGCTACAATGGCACCCCTATCATGATCAGGTACTATAATAAAACCTGCCGGTGAGAAACATGCCAGATTTGTACACCGAGAATTAAACAGAATGTGCCAGCCCTTTTGGCGTGACCCAGCACAGCAGGGGTGTCAAACTCACAATGTCACGTGACGTGTCGCGACATATCGTGACTTTTTCCCATTGCCGGCCATGGGGTGGGCACGGTTTCAGCATGACGCATCAGTTTGACACTCCTGCAGTACAGCTTTTCTTACTATCCTGTCAAATGCTACTTTTTTTTAAACAATACTTTTATTAATTTTCAGATTTTACATTTAGGCATTTAAAAAGCAACATGGTGGCTGGGTTAATCAATAGTTCAGTAACCGTACAAATCTCAAACTACAAACTCAAATATTTCCTCTCTTTTTCCCTTAATATCTACTATCTCATATTTAAGCTAATACAGTTCTTATTATAAACTAAATAAAAACATCATTATTACATTTATCAATAAATGTTTAGCTTATACATATCTTAATTACTTTTACATTCAGTCTTTACATTCAATCAATGTCCTGTTATTGTTTTTTCCCAATTTTTAGTTTCCCATCAATATTCAAATTTAACATTTGATATTTATAATTTCCAGGTTTTAGGTAACCAAAGTTTCCTTTATCTCAATTTATACCAGAATCTAATATTCAAAATACACATCTTATCTATTTGGGTATAATCTTGTTCTATTTCCTAAAAGTTATCTATTTCCCCTCATCTTACATCATCTAATTAATAATACAGTATCCTCTTTAATAAATCAAAGCCCATTATATATTTTATCTGAGTTAATCAATAAATCAAACATATTCATATTTTTTTTTTCCTTTTGGGTCTAATTTTTAAGTATTAAACAAATAGCATCCTTATTTTCAACTAATTTCCAAATGTTTTAAATTTAATGACCAAATTTTTCTTATCTCAACTTCTCCCTTTGACCCTCTAATTAGTAATATGAAATTCCCTCTGATAAATCAAAACCCCAATTTTCTTCAGCCTTATTCTGGCTTTCTTTCTTTGCCAACTAGCCTTCCATGACAACGCTTTTAAATCATCAAATAGATCTCCCTCTATTATTATATATATTGTTTGGAATAAGAGAGACCATTTAGTTGCCATTTTTTTGGAAGGGCTAGCCCATTTATATTCCTTAAATCGTCTCCCTATTATTCCAAATGCTACTTTAAGAAGAACGAAATTCCTTCTTAAATTCTATCATAGCCAATGATAGCTTATCAGAAAACTGGGCCCCTCAGACTTTAGACATTTACGACTCTCTGACTTTAAACTTAGGAACAAATATTAGCTTCATCACATAACCTTTGGAAGCAAACTTGTTTTTGAAAGTGAGATAAAATACATACAAACTGGGTTAAGGTATTTTAGGAGCTAGAACAGGGGTGTCAAACTGCCGGCCCACGGGCCGGTTTCATCATACCGGAGCCGCACCCACCCCATTGCCGGCAATGGCAAAAAAGCTCCGATATGTCATGCGATGTCACGAGTTTGACATGCCTGAGCTAGAAAGAATCTAATGGCATATTTTGGCCTGTTCATAATTTTGCAATTCTTTCTGGATGGCTCAACAGTACAACTTGGCTTACAATCAGCAACGAATATAAATTATTGGATAAAAATAATAATTTATTCATTTAATAGGTTTCTTAATTTCTCTAGAATTCATGTTCATAACTACTACAGTTAGGGGAATAATGCACTCAGGCATTCAATCAAGGACATTTAGAACCAGAATTTGTAGCTATCGAGCATTATAAAGCTAGGAGAGAGAGTGAACACGAAGCGCTACTTTTATGCAGAAATAAAACTGTCAAGCACCAAATCCCAGTTAGAGCAAAAACCAACTACCTGAGAACTGGAAAAGCAGTTTTGAATTACAGGCAGTCCTTGACTAATAACCATAACTGAGCCTGCAATTTCGGATGTAAGTGGGGTCATGTGACTCTGTACCCAACTTTGCTATTTTTTTGCAACGGTCATTAAGTGAACGTGGCAGTCGTAAAGCAAACCTGTTGTTTGCTATGGGGCATTTTTCATGGAAACCGAGCACCACTTTCCAGAAAAAATATGGCAAACCGCAGTCACGTGACTCTGGGATGCTGCAAACAGCTGGAAATGGGGGAGACGGTGGCCGAGTGCCCAGAACGGGGTCACATGATCAAGCATTGGGGGGGCAGATGTCAGAACTTTGAATCCAGATTATAACTCTCTTTTTCCAAGTCCTTGATAACTATAAATGGTCATTAAGCAACTAGTCATAAGTGGGAGGACTACTGTATCTCTCTCTCTCTTTCTCTCTTGGGCATAGAAAGCTAACCATAGTCAGGCTGGTGATGTTCTAATCCAGGGGTAGTCAACCTTGGCTCTTTTATGACTGGTGGACTTCAACTCCCAGAATCCCTGAGCCAGCACAGCTGGCTCAGGAATTCTGGGAGTTGAAGTCCACGAGTCATAAAAGAGCCAAGGTTGCCTACCCATGTTCTAATCTCTAAAGTTTGCTCACATCCAGACTTGGTTAATTATACACTGAATCCTGAGCTTTTGGGGCGAATTGAAAATTAATCTGTTAAAAGGCCTCCCCTGTGACTCTGCTAAGGTCAAAGTTCAAGATGCCTCCAGGTTAAGCTAAGCGGGTGATTCCGTGGACAGAACCATGAACTTTTTTTTTTTCTGGCCATAAGTTTCCCGCTGCCTCTTCCAGGGTGATTTCCCACCCCTGGTGCCCAAATGCTAACCAGGCCCAACCCTTCACTTCAAAGCCCAGGTGAGATTGGGCAGATGATGCTGCTGCTGCCTGCCGAGACCTGCCAGAGGTCACCCACCGCTTAGTGTTCTTATTTGGCCTTCGGCTGCTCAACCAAATTCATGAGAAAGAGGGGCACGGAAAGACAAGGACGAACGGAAGCTTGCTGGCCGTAGATAGCAGTCACGTGACACACACACACACACCCCAGACATCGCAACTATCCCAAATACATGCCAGTTGCCGAGCACCTGGATTGGGATCATGTGACCCTGGGGGATGCCGTGATGGTTGTAAGCGCGAGGAGCAGTCGTCCCTTTTTTTCAGTGCCGTTGTAACTTCAAATGGCTGTCCAGTGGATGGACGTAAGTCGAGGACTGCCTGTACTTCAGAAATGAACCTTGGTTCTATTCTCAACTCCACTTTTTTTTTGTGGTTAAATAAGTAACTGAAATGCTTTGCTGTCAAATAAATAACAAATGACGCGAGACCCTTCATTTGCACACATCGATACGTTTTGAGAATTCAAAGCGCTCCGTACGCACACTATTTTGCCAGAATATTTACCAAATTTTGCCAGAATATTTACCAAGCTCCCCTAGAACTATATTATTGTGAAATTACTGCACAATACTCTTTGGTATTACAATGGGAGGTTGGGACATAGCTATGAGAATCTGCCACCATTCACTATAAATCCCGCTGGGAGTTAAGCAACATCTGGAGGATTTTGGCTCGCTTTCAAGTATTTCCTTTCAGCCGGAGTTCTGAAATAATCTCTAATTTCTCTCCTGCTCTTAAATCATTCTTTGTAATTTCTCTACTTGGAAATGGCACATCTCTCTTCTCACGCTCCAAATATCCTCAGATACAGACCTTGGGACTCCCACGTAAACCGTCAAATTTTAGCTTTTCCCCTTCTGATCACCAAACACGAGGGACTGCCATTTTTCCCAGCTTCATATATTGTGAACTGGACTCACTGAGTTGGGAAAAAAGCATTTCCATTCGAAACGTCTAACACAAAGTAATGTTCATAGAGTTTCTTATCTAATAAACGTCCTTAAAAATTAGAGCGCCTCAACTGGTTTTTGACTTTTGAACTATTATACCACGTGTCTTTGACTTTGAGTCGCTAAAAATCGCTAAACGTAAGACACTAAAATGCCTGATTTTTTTTTTAGCTTTGGTATTAATATTATTTTTTGTGGAGATTTTTTTCTGTAAAAAACATCACCAAGTACACAATATTTTTTCTTTCCAGGTTAGAAAAATGTTTTACTCACAAGGGCAAACCTTCTGAAGAAGCCAGCCTCTCTACCTGCTCCTAACAGTTGGCTTTACAGTATATATATGGAAGGGACCTTGGAGGTCTTCTAGTCCAACCCCTGGCTCAGGCAGGAAACCCTATACCAGGGGTCTGCAACCGTGACAACTTTAAGACTTGTGGACTTCAGCTCCCAGAATTCCTCAGCCAGCATGGCTGGCTGAGGAATTCTGGGAGCTGAAGTCCACAAGTCTTAAAGTTGTGAAGATTGCAGACCCCCGCCCTGTACCAATCCAGACAAATGGCTGTCCAGTCTCTTCTTAAAATCTTCCAGTGTTGGAGCCTTCACCGCTTCTGGAACGGCTCCAGTGTTATTCGCCTAAAGATTATTCGTCCACTTTGAAGACTTGCGGACTTCAGTTCCCAGAATTCTGGGCGCAAAGGGAGGGGCCCCTGCGGCCCAGGGCAGGGTATTCCAAGGCCGAAGAGGGAGGGGGGAGAGCCCCTGGGGGGGAGGGTGTCCCCACTTTTTTAGGGGGGGCGGGGGGGCTGCCTTACCTCGGAGCAGAGCCATGGCTGCGGCGACACGGGCTGCCTCTCTCTCTCCGACCCGCTCCCCCCCCCCGCCGGGTCCTGGGTTGGCAAGTCGCAGCCCCGCCCACCGCCCCGCCCTGAAAACCCCTCCCTCGCCCCTCCCCTGCCTGGCTCCCCCTCCCTCGCCCCTCCCACCGCCCTGAAAACCCCTCCCTCGCCCCTCCCCTCCCCTGCCTGGCTCCCCCTCCCTCGCCCCTCCCCCGCGCCGGTCGGTTGGGGGGGCGCAAGGCGAGGAGGGCAGAGGTAGGCAGGGCGTTCCCTCCCGGGGCCCATCATCCCCAGCCCTGGATTTCCCCCCCCCTCTCCCCGGGGAGTCCGTGACGCCCCTCAGGGCCTTGGGCTGTCTGGGTCATGCAGGCCGGGGATTATGGGAGAGGGAGTCTGCGGGCCGGGCTAAGGGGGGAGCCCCTCGGGAGGACGGAGAGGCGGGCAGGGAGCAACCCGCCCGATCCTGACTGTGGATTATGGGCCCTGGAGTCCAAGGCGGGGAGGGGCCCCCCTCACTTCCCCTCCTGCCTCAGCCGGGCGGGGACTCGCGCCGCGGCCTCCAAAGGGAGGCGGGGCAATGCGCGGGAAGGGGCGGGGCTTCCGCTCAGGCGCTTCCTGTCCTGCCCGTCTCCCTGGCAACGCGGCCTTCCCGCTCCCGGAGGCCCCTGAAGCCGGGCGGGCTCGCGGGACCCCCCACCCCAGGCCGGGGCTCTCTCCCTCCGCCGGCGGACAGGGGAGCCCCCGGGGGTGGGGGGCCCGCAGGCCCTCGTTCCCGGCCGGCCCAGGCGGCGGGGCTCCCGGCTGGGGAGGGCTGGACTGAGCGAGCGAGGCCGGAGCCCGCGAGACGGGAAATGGGAGTTTGATTTTTTTTTCCCCTCCTGATTCTGCTTGAGGAAACTGCGGAGGTTTTCGGCCTCTGCTTCGTCCTCCAGCCTCCCCTGGATTCATTCTAGCTTTCCGCCGCTCCTGGCCCTGATCGATAGTCTGACGGCTTCAGCATTAGCTACGCCTTGAGCCCCTAAAAAGCTAGAAGCGTCCAATTCCCTTTTTCGTCTTTCGAAGCAATAACTGGGAAAGCCTGGAGAAATCGGGGTTCAGTTCCGCAGCTGAGGGTTATATTTCTGACCGAATTGCCTTTGGAAACAACGCGGAGGTTTCTGCAAAAAGCAAAAACATAAGGAGGAACGAGGGCTTCTATCATCTCAGAATCGAAATTTGTCCATTAATATTAAAATTTAAACTGTTATTAGCCGTACAAGAGACTCTGCAAATCGTAGTAAAATAGCTCCGAATTTCAGTATTCAGGGGTAGGCAACCTCGGCTCTTTTATGACTCGTGGACTTCAACTCCCAGAATTCCTGAGTCAGCTCTGCTGACTCAGGAATTCTGGGAGTTGAAGTCCACGAGTCATAAAAGAGCCGAGGTTGCCTACCCCTGACTGATAGTTGCTAACATTTGGAGAGAGGAGCAATATTTCTGCGTGCAATGGGCTGTAACTTTTTATATTTCGTTCTTTTTTTATTGCACGGGAAATAATTGGTTAGCCGCTGAGTGCGCTTTTACAATGGAAAAATAGGAGTCCGCAACTGATTGCAAAAAGTTATAATTCTCAGTTTGTAAAAAAATGCCAAACCTATTTTCAGCAAATTAAAAACAATACCACATCTGAAGTGTGTCTTTGCCGTGGAATGCTCATCCTATTTGAATGGTTATTTCTTGAAATATATCTACACTTGTTATCTTTTAAGAATTGTGGGAGATGCGCTTTCAACAAGCTGGCTAAGGATTATGCATTGTCAAATGTAAGTGAAGAACTAATTGAAGAGAACTCCATGCTATCATTGACCAAATGTGAATTTATTAATTCACATAATATAAATCAATTATTATGTGTATTAATCAAAAATCATTAGCGACTTCAAATAAAAAGGCTAAGAGATATTTCTCAAAACTTGTCACTTGACTTTAATTGCTGCAATATTTGTTATTTTCAGCAGGAATTACAGAAATACTATAAACCTGTTTTAGAGCGGCAAGAAACAGCTCATCTTATTTATAGTACCAGTCAATAAAACGGATGCATAATATGAAATCAGGTGTTATTGGAGAAGATCTTGATGCCTGGAAGAATTGACAATTGAAAAAGAGGCCACCAAGAGACAAGGTGTGCTAGATACTGTCACAAGAACTCTGAGACAATCCTAACAAAAGGATGTCCATCAGGTTATGAAGAATTGAAAGTACCTGAATGACTGAAGAACATAAAATTGTTATAAGATATCATAGTCCTCTCTAATAATATCAAGCATTCTTTGGCTCAATAATGGTAACTTGCATTTCTCTAACCAGTTTTGCTAATGGACCCTCACTTGGAATGGAGATCCAGTATAGTGGGCTGAATCCTGAAAATCATTTTGACCGTTGTGCATACAGGGTAGTAGTGATGGACTATTCTTGACTCTGCTTGCACAATTCTATACAAATATTTGCAAGGGCATTTTGCTTTGTGATAATGTTTCTGATCTGTCTGGTTCATGTTGACGTAATTTGTATGCTCAGAGCCTCTGCGAGATCCTCATAAATCCGTCCCCTCAAAAAGAATAAATAATCCCACCCATAAGATACAATGTCGGGCATTCTCTACGTTCTACCTTTTGGTCACTGCACACTCTCCTCCTGTGCTTGAGGGAACCACCAGGTCTTAGCAGCTCTCCTGAAATCCAGGAGGAAAGGAGCAAACTGGATCTCCCAAGTATAGGGACGTGGATCCAAAAGGTCTGTTTTGTGACACCTCTGTGTGGTGGCCTGACTGAACTGGCAGATGGATACGAGAGAAGATGGCTCCTTAGTAAGGGCCTAAGGCAGGGGTAGTCAACCTTGGCTCTTTTATGACTCGTGGACTTCAACTCCCAGAATTCCTGAGCCAGCTGAGCTGGCTCAGGAATTCTGGGAATTGAAGACCACGAGTCATAAAAGAGCCAAGGTTGACTACCCCTGGCCTAAGGCATCCAGAAACCCAACTGACAACCCTGAAGTGGTGGTTGGACACAGGATGCAGGGAATTTGTTGGGATTCGCCCACAACGCCCCTGTGACGGTTGCGTCTTGTATCACTGGGAGTGCCTTCCAGGGAAAACCCCGACTGGAGCACCTAACAGAGGGTCCCATTTGGGGAGCGTTGCCCTTTTCTGCCATTGCTGGTCTGTGATGAATAGCCCACTGCGCAATCCGAGTCCTGTGTGGAACTGAATGACGAAATTTGTGCTGACAAAGGCCTCTGAGACCAAAGCTCTGGTAGCCCCATAGTCTTTCCTTGGCTGCTGGTGCACAGAGCCCCAGGCACCGAAGAAAGGTCTAAGCCGGCCAGCTGGGCAGAAGCCTTTGTGATCGGACACACCACGGGGTTGGCTGGGATTGCGAAGATCAGTGTTAAAATCAACCGTGCAATTTGGTAGGTGACTCTGGACTAGTAGTTTTTTTTATTCTTTACCATTCTCAGTGTATCTCAGGGGTCCTCAACCTTGGCAACTTTAAGACTTGTGGACTTCAATTCCCAGAATTTCTCAGCCAGCTTAGCTGGCTGAGGAATTCTGGGAGTTGAAGTCCACAAGTCTTAAAGTAGTCAAGGTTGAGGACCCCTGGTGTATCTGATCATTCGTCTACTTACATGCAGTGCTTGTAACCTGCCCCAGTCCCAAAGGACTGGATAGTGTATCAAAGGAAAACATATTTGAAATAAAAATGAAGTACAGATCAATATCAAAGAAAAAAAATAAAAGAATATAAGGAAAATGATTTGTTCAAGTCCCCGGAAAGCAATAATTTTTTAACTTACTTAGTGTCTTTACTGCCACGTTTTGAGTCCCCCATTCAAGGCTCTGGAATGATAAGGTAATCTGAGCATTTAAATGCAGCTCATTGAATGGCTAAAACTGAATATTCACTCTGAAATGAGCATTCTAACAAGACTTTGCCACCTCACTGGTTTGTTCCAAAAATTAATGTCGAAAGATCAATTCAACTTAAAATTATGGAAAGCATATTTTAAAAATATTCTGAAATCGGAATAGTGCAATCCGATGTATCTCAGTTTTTGTATTGAAATACTTCTGAGGTTAGCTGGAATTAATTCTAGCAACAGGTATATTTTAATTTTCACATAACAGTGGTCAGTTTAAAGTGGACACTTCTGAAAGGACCAGACTACTACTACTACTACTACTACTACTACTACTAATAATAATAATAATAATAATAATAATAATAATAATAATAATAATAAAAATATAAATAAATTGGAAGGGACCTTGGAGGTCATCAAGTCCAGCCCCCTGCTCAGGCAGGAAACCCTACACCATTTCAGACAAATGGTTGTCCAGTCTCTTCTTAAAGACTTCCAGTGTTGGAGCATTCACCACTTCTAGAGGCAGGTGGTTCCACTGGTTAATTGTTCTGTCAGGAAATTTCTCCTTAGTCCCAGGTTGCTTCTCTCCTTGATTAGTTTCCATCCGTTGCTTCTTGTAATACAATGTAATACATTGTAAGTAATACATTGTATGTAATACAGTGATAATGTGCTGAGTCAATAGTGTATTTTCCCCTCTTGATATCTTAATTGATACTGTTGGTATGCTAGGACTGGTCTGTATGCTCCATTAAGAATTTAGAATTTTAAAGTATGCATCCCATATAGCAGGTAGCCATTGAAATATATTTCAGGAACTTTCCTCCAACAGACCACTTGGGTCCAGGGGGTTGGACTAGATGACCTTCAAGGTTCCTTCCAACTTTACTACTATTATTATTATTATTATTATTATCAACCCAACTATATTTGCTTCCAAAAATACTTTACAATAATTTAAGAAGCAATCTTGTGATGGCATAATGAAAGCTGTACCATTGTAACTTTTACACGTGACGCTTGGAACTCCAGAAGGAAATATGCCTATATACTGTAAATGTATTACAAAGAGTTTATAAAACAAATCAATTTCTCGCTCTTTTAGAATGAGCTTTGAAAGTGGACACTAGCAATGCTGGAAAGAAAAGCAGCATGCAGAAAAACCAGCCAAGCCAGCTTTTTATTCCAAAGTATTTATATCACAGTATTTTATGCCCAGTGGAATGATGGTGACTTTGACAGTCACTTTCCTATGGATGTAATTTACCCAATTGTTGAAACTGGAAAAATATTTTTTATCAGCAGCAATATTTCATCCGCGCTTGCAGTTTTAATCAAGCTGGGGCGATTATAAATTGGGGTGGGCTCACCTCATTTCATGTGTCATGAATAATTCTTTAGGTTTTATGGGAGTTATCTTTCAATATATATAAAAAACAAGTTTTGAAGACAGAGGTGTAACTTGCTCATGCAGTATAAGCTGATTGGCATGGTGGACAGTCAGCTACGTCTATAATGCTAGAATATTCTGACTACTGCATTCTATTATAGCTTAACAGTCTGAGAAAAAGAAGAAAACATTGTGGTAGAAGAAGGGAGAAATTACCTGAGTGTGTGTAGTATAACTTGAAATTTTGCAATCTCAGGTGTCCCCGTGTACAGACAAGTCTCACTAATTCTCGCACGCTTGAGATGTGTAGTATTTAAAAAATTCTTCATAGTTAATATCAACAAATCAATATGAATAAATCTGCATTTCTTGCAGTTTTTAATTGAGGAAGAGAGTTGGCCATATATTTCTTTTTTAAAAAAGTTCAAATTAATCTAATACAACAGGAATTACTCAAATCTTTCCATGCTGATTACCCTAAACAAATAGAAGTTATATGTAAGGCTGCACATTTGTTAACATTATTAATTGGATAGCTATAAATACTGTAATCAAGTATTTTATTGATGTTTATTTTAGTGCTTTGTAGGTCTTAAAAAAATCTCCAAGATTCCCAATTTGGACTCCTCAGAAGCTGGGGAATCTAACTTTGTGGAGAAAATCAATTCAAATCCGTGTTTGGATCTTTTTTATGGACTTTTATAGATGTCTAAATTCATGTGCAATTTCATTAGTTTATATACAAATCCAAAGGTAATTTAGGGTAACATTTAAATTGTTCTCCAAAGTTGTAATACTCAGTTCAGAAAAATGCTGATTGCCAATGCTAATGTAAAGGCATGCAGAAGGAAAGAATTCAGTCAAAAAGAATAAACAGATGAAATAAGTGACACAATCTATTTTTTTGATCTGTGCTAAAGTATTTTTAAATCAAAGAAATGATCAATTAAAGACAGAGAAAGCATATTTGTGCATGGCACTGCCAGTGAATTGGCTTTTTAAAAAGAAAAACTCAAAAGTTATCTTAAAAACAGATCACAAAAGTTACAGACATCAGTTATTTAAACACAAGTTCCTTCAGTAAATCCAGGTTTGCAGATAATTACAAATATTCAATTTCTATCTGTTATACTATTTTAAAAATGTACAGCTATTATATACACAATATAAATTAAATTTTCTTGCAGCCCTGCAGAGAAATATTACCATTAGGTAGAGCTTTAGCCACACTTTATAAATACATTTTCTAAGATTCCGTAGAAGCGTTGCATCTTATTCTGCAACTTTAGTCTGCCTGGTAAGAATTAAATACACCGACGTATTTAGAAGCTTTGCAACATTTGAGGATTTTTAACATATACAGTTTATACAAAAACTGAAGCTTCTTGCCAAATGGCAGCATAACACTTCCACTTGCCCAGGTTAGTTCCACATTATACCGGAGAATTTGGAAATAATTGCTTACTATTCACATATACTTTTTAAAGGTGGCAGATAGGATCACAGTTGGCAAAGTGTCCCCTTCTCACACCTGTTTTTTTTGTGGGAGACAAAAGGTCTGATGTGCAGGAGTAAACTGGCCATCATGGGTGAAAAAGTATGTGGCAGTTTCACTACCACTTTGACTCAAGTGTTACTTTTCAATAAAGTGCCTCACTTTTACATTATTTTACTAATGGCGAGTAAGCCTAGGGACTTACCGTAATAAGGCATACACAGGAATTACGATATTCAGTTCTTTAAAAAAAATCCAATGCATGCTGCTTTTATATATTACTCTGGAAAGTGATACTTACAAGAAAAAGGTCAGCAAATAAGGGATTTGTTTTATTAGAGGCAGCAATCTGACTGCTTTTTTGTTCCATGTTCAGAGGGGGTCTGCCAAAGTACAAATTTATCATATTTAACTTGGGGGGGGGGGAGAGAGGAAATCCCTAAATTAGTGTTTGCACTAATGCAGAAAATTGCAAGAGAAATAAGCAAATGTTCCCCACCACCCTTTTCCTTTTGCATTAAGATATGAATAATAGAGAAACTTCTGTTGAATAAAGTGTCATCGGGTAAAACTACAGCACCAGGGAAAGTAGCATGAATTTTTCTGCCGGGACCAACAAAAAAATAAATAAATGACAATTTGCAGAATTAGGTGGAAGCAGTGTGCCTGCAGCTATCATTTTACCATACAGTTGCAAATGTTTTATGAATGTAGCATTATGAAAAACGATTCCCTAGATCAGGGGTAGTCAACCTTGGCTCTTTTATGACTCGTGGACTTCAACTCCCAGAATTCCTGAGCCAGCTAAGCTGGCTCAGGAATTCTGGGAATTGAAGTCCACGAGTCATAAAAGAGCCAAGGTTGACTACCCCTGGCGTAGTACTCCCCTTTCAGACGGCCCTTGGAGACGATTATCAGTTTGAAAGTACACGTCCTTCACTTATTTTCCGAACTGGACCAGAATCGATCTGTTAGTGGATGGGAGTCTTTTGTTAAGTTGGGTGTTTTGATTTATACTAATCAAATCATTCTGAAAGGGATGGTGCTCATCTTGTTAAAAGCTCCCTAGTCCAATATTGAACTGCCAAGCTTGCAAGAGCGAAGAATGCCAAGATCATCTGGGCACAACTCAAGAAGGTCATTCGATCATGTTTCTTTTTTGCTCGTAACCCTACTGGGTTCATCTAGTTAAGTGCAATTACAGGAGACTGCAGAATAACGAACTCTGTATATGGCTGTCTTTATTAATCCATATAATTGTCCCCACTGCCTCCTTTTAACTGAGTGCTACTTTAAGGGCTACAATGGCCACTGAATAATAGTTGAGAAATGGCAGGTGCTTAAAAAAACAGAATTCAGAGGGAAATGTTTGCGAGTAGGATTGTGGACATAATTTAAGGAGTCGTATTTAGAACACTAAAGATTTTATTTTTTTCCCCATATGGAACTATGGAGCTTCCTAGTATTTAATAAGTGCTGATTAGTTCTTGCAAGAAATGCCGTTTCTTACCTATCGGTCTGTGCATAAATATGCTGATAAAGATGTGAATCTTCTGCATTGCTTTCCATGATCATTCTCTTGAGAGGCTTCTCCTAGGAGTTCAGCTAGCAAATTGAGAGGCTGCTACACAGCGCATAACATGGTCCTTGTAAACCGGCTTGGAAACACACCCGGCCTCCCCATTTCCTGCAGATGTTCTCTCTGGGCACGGCTCAGTCGATGCTGGGGAACCACTGACTGCACAACGACACACAACGGAGCCAGCGTATCCCTACTGTGTCCTGGCACAGTCCCAAGTGTGATCACAAGAACCCTTCAACTATCTCTGCAAGGAATCTGTCTGAGAGCATCAGGTACACTGTTTTCTTCCCCAGTAAATCAAAGTAGACGCGTGTCAATCACTGGCCTAAATGAATCAGTAGCAGCTTACGGTGAAATTATAACTGGGCACGAAGCAAATGGAGGTTTGTATGGCTCCACAGCTTCACATTCTTAGTGATACATATGGAAAAATTATCAACAGGCACCTGATGGGTTAAAGATGGACCAGGGGCGTCCACAAAGTATGGCAAACAAAAGTCAAAATGACAGCCACAATGGTATGATTGAAGTTTGGTCTGTTTTCTTATATACGTGCCGCCATATTGGTTTGTGTGTGTGTGTGTTTAACCACACCTTGCAGATGCCCCTAAAGCTTTCAGTCAGTAGCCTGCTTCATATCCCAAGTGGCCTTCCCCAACCTCAGTACAAATTGCAAATTGCTCTTCCCACCTCCAGTTAACATCTGTTCCAGCTGTGTCACAATTTTTTTATTTTAACCTAAAGCAACTTTTTTTTTTTCTTTGAAAAATGAGAAACTGAAAATTGAAGCAAGCTCTACCACAGGGAGTCTCTAATTCTGACAACTTTTAAGATTCGTGGACTCAAGTCTTAAAGCTGCCAAGGTTGGAGACCCCTGCTCTGCCCCCACCGACAATCAGAAAAGGAGTGGCAATCTTGGGCTCCTTTGTGTCATTTCAACACAAACGTCTTTGAGAAACATAATTCAAAAAAGTAAAGCTTACATCCTGCTTAACCAGTGCATCTGCCTTAGTGGCAAAAGTGGGAGACAATGTTTTAGCAGGGCATCAAACAGTTCAACCCTTTCTTGTGTTTCAAGTATCAAAGGCAAGATCTCCCCACCCACCCCTCCCACCCCCCCAAAAAAAATCCCTCAGGCAAACCAAAAAGCATCTAACACAAGTATTATTATTTTTTTTTATCCTGCACAATTTAGCACTGATTCATTGGCAAGTATGGTTCTTTCACCATTATTTGGTCCGTATCTGAAGAGATTCTACATCAGTGTTTCTCAACCTTGACAATTTTAAGGCATGTGGACTTCAACTCCCAGAATTCCACAGCCAGCAAAGCTGGCTGTGGAATTCTGGGAGTTGAAGTCCACATGCCTTAAAATTGTCAAGGTTGAGAAACACTGTTCTACATTTTTCCTTCTTTTTTTTTTTAATCCCTCAGCTTTGGGGAAATTGGGCTGAAAAATATATATATATATATATATATTGTAGTCTTCAAACTCGGTTAAGGAATCCCAGGTTAAGGGAAGCTGGGATGTGGATAGAGTCCATGGTCAGAGACGAAGGGTTGAACGGAAACAAAACGGGGAACATGAACTTGAAGTCTAAGAGCAGCTGTGGAGGGTCGTTCCGCTCTTGCAGCTGGGCCTAGAAGGAACCGGAAGAAGCGCGTTAGCAGAGACATTGGACCGGTGGCTGTTTTAAGCCACAACTTTGCTCCTGCGGCTGAATCCTGAGTTTCTCTAGAGTAGGGATCCTCTGAGTTTTAGAAAGGTAAGGCACCATCAGCTCAATCTTTTTCTAGCCAAATTTTGTAGTGGCAACTAACTTAACAGCACCGTACGATACGATTGTTCGTCTGGAAATTAGCAGCCGCTCCTGGCACCGTCTAGCTCAGAGGGGTCCAATCTCGGCAGCTTTTAAGACAGTGGTTCTCAACCTTTTTAATGCCGCGACCCCAACCGGTCGTAAGTCGAGGACTAAACCGGTCGTAAGTCGAGGACTAAACCGATCGTAAGTCGAGGACTACCCAACCGGTCGTAAGTCGAGGACTTTCCCTGCCCGGGAGTGCTGCGCATGCGTGGTTCCGCCCCCTGTGCCGGCCGAGGCGTAGCTGGCAAGCGGCAGAGACGGAGCAGGCCGACCACCAGCTGGCCCAGCCCAAGGGAGGTAAGGCACCCGCCGGAAAAGGGGGAAAAAATGGCGGACAAAACAAATGGCGGACAAAAAAAATGGAGGACAGCCTTGCTTGGCGACCCCCATGAAATGGTCGATCGACCCCAAATGGGGTCCCGACCCACAGGTTGAGAACCACTGTTTTAAGACCTCCCAGAATTCCCCAGCCAGGGTGGAAGTCCACCGGGTTTAAAGCTGTGTATCCCTGATGCGGTTGTAGTATCTTCCCACAAGAAACAGAAGATCGTAGCTAGAACTGGCCACGGCTACACCTAGTGTCCTGTGTGGATCAGAGGGAATAACCTGGCAGTCGGTTCAGTGTTTTTAAATAGCGACAGCTGTCTGGGTTTTGTTTCTGTTTTTAGTTTAACCTTGCGTACGGTGAAGGTGAAAAATTCAGCTGCCGCTTCTCGGCTTTTTCTCCTGGAGTCCCAGGGTAAGATCACAGTAACTAACTGCAGGGCAGGGGTGTCAAACTCGCAACGTCACGTGACGTGTTGCGATGTATCACAACTTTTTTTTCCATTGCCGGCAATGGGGTGGGCGCGGTTTCAGCATGACGCACCCGGCCTGCGTGCCGGCAGTTTGACACCCCTGCTGTAGGGGGACAGAACTGGCAAGCTATGATTTTACACTGTTGTTAACTATGATAATAATTAATACTGTGAAACAACATCTGCCATCCCAGGTCCTTGGGAAGGATATAATAGGTGGGTAAAAAAAAGCCAGATCCGTTGTAAATATCTGGGTGACACTAACTTGTAGCTCGTCAACTTTCAGTGACTGAGTAGTGCTCACCGAGTGGAATTTGATCCTACGCCCTACCAATCTGTCAATCTTTACTTATTCTTCATGCACTTATCTTTTGTCACACTGGAGTCTTGAGTCCTATCTCACTACATTTCATGAGCCTTACAGAATGTCACAAATGAGAAAATTCTACAAAGAAGTAATTCCTGAAGAGTCTTGAAGATAATGACAAAACGAAGAATGCGCTTTGCTGGACACGTGCTCCGCAGGAGTGTGCAACGTCCAGCAAAGACCGCAATCAATTGGATCCCACCAGATGGTCGGAGGAAAACAAACCTGTCACCAAACATTTCAAGAGGATCTGAAAAACATCAACCTTCAATGGAAAGGTCAAAGAACTTACCTGAATGTTTCTTATGAAGGTTACTGTCACTCGCTCTTCAAACTCGTTCACAGGAGTGTAAAGATTTAGTATTTTTACAATCTAAGGAGCAAAGATCAAATGAGGGTTATAGAGGAGACGCGACAGACTCTGTGGCATCACTAGTTTGTAAACAGGCATCACGGGTCCTCAAGAGAACCAGCGTAGGAAATGGGTGGAATTTCAGCTTAGGAGACAAGACAGGCTGCCCACCTGCAGGCAGACCTTCAAGAGAACTGGCGCCCCTGAATGGGTGCCCCATTTATCCACAATTGTACTTATTGTGCAAGATTGACCCCGACGTGTGTTCTCTGGTTCCCTAGAAGATCTACACGAAAGCAACGTCCAGAGACAGTCGCTTCTGAACTGGACATCCAGTTATGAAACTGCTGCCATACACCTCTCCTCTAGTCCAGGGCTTTTCAACCTTTTCACCCATTGTGCCACTTTTAGGATATGGCAACATCCGAGGACCACCAGTCGCCTAGCAAGGGGTCAAAAACTTGATGACAAAAAAAAAAAAAAAGGAAAAAAGTGATAAAGTACAGGTAGTCCTCGACTTACAACAGTTCGCTTAGTGACTGTTCAAAGTTACAAGGGCACTGAAAAAAGGGCCCCCCAAAGCCACAGCCGAGCAAGACACCTGCCTGCCCACCCGGCGGTGCTCTTCCTCCTGTCCGAGGTTTTCATTGTTGTGAGCATTTCTGTTGAGGATTGGCAGCGGGGGTGGGGTGGGGTGTGTGTGGTTTTTATTCCCCCCCCGTCTGCTGGGTGGTTGCAGCAGGTTTTGGTCACTTCACCTGACCCTGGGACACTGTGACCGTCATAAATATGAGTCAGTTGCCAAGCATCTGAATGTAAATCACAAGACCCTGGAGAGGCTGCAACATTCCAGCTGATCGGCGCTTCTTCTGGGCTCAGCAGAAGCACCAGGATCAGTGCTGAGCTCCAGCTGGAGCCTGGTGTTGATCCTGGCACTTCCGCTCAGCCCTGACAGCCCTGAAGAAGCGCTGATCCTGGCGCTTCCGCTGAGCCCTGACAGCCCTGCAGCTCCAGCCGTCTCTCGCTCAGGCTTGTGCGGTGCTGCCACGGGTTCAGCCCATTCCCCTCCCCCGCTACCACTTTTCTAGGATGGTCGCGTACCCCCTGCCAGGTGCCCATGTACCACAGGTGGTACCCCTACCACTGGTTGAAAAGCCCTGGACTAGATGTTTTCTATATCATTACAGATACTGTGTGCGTATATTTGCTTCCATCGCATTCTCATCAGACACTAAACAATAATCCATTAACATACTCAAGTACTTTCCCTGGTCACTTAAAATAACCTTCCTCAGCCAGATGCTGGACTTGACCAAAGCAAAAAGCTTTGAGTATCAGCACTGCATCGTTGTGATTTAAGCCAAAGCAGGGATGCTTAAGTTCAAATCCTTGCTCGGACTGAGACTCTCTGGTGACCTCCTACGCCGAATGAAAAATATGTTGTTCATGGTATGTTTAGGTGTGTGTCGTGTATGTGTTTCACTTTGAGAGCGGGCAACTAAATTTCATTTTTGGATGTGTGTCGTTGTGCCCACAGTAAAAAAAAAAATGACAATAAAGGTTATCTTATCTAAAAAGGATCCGAAGAAGGAAGGGGTGAAGAGGAGAACCGTATTCTCCCGCTCAGCCTTTTATCAGCCGCTCTGAGGTGGTCCGGGAGGTGTACCTGCTGGGTGGTGAGGGACGTGCACAGGGAGCAGATGGCCTCCCCGTCCTCAGGGGTCTTCTTTTTCAGCTGCAGGAGCTGGGCTGCCTGGATCAGGGGCTCCAGGGTCTTGGCAGCCCCACTTGGCTGCAGGTTCTTCCCTCTCAACCACTCCTCCAGTTGGCTGATGTTAAACCTGGACCCGACACAAGGAAGACACGAGTTAGGAGAAGAACTGGCGAGAGGTTTCCGAATCCCGGTGAGAGGTTTGCGTGTTCTCAACCGGCCCGTGCCTCTTTGCGTGTTCTCAACCGGCCCACGCCTCTCTCTCTCCAACCCCCTTCCAGAGCAGCCACTGCTGGGCAGCATTAGCAAGACGGATGGAATTCCATTTCTTCCTAATTTTTCCAGCAATTTTGGGGGCCTTCTTTTGTCTGGATCAACCGAATGTACAGTAGATCCATTGGTTTCCATAGGAACTGACTCTCTGGCTGGTCACCTGCACTTGATGCCACGGGCTGAGCGGGTGTGACTGGCCCAAACTCACCCAGCTGGCTTGAATGCCCAAGATGGAACTAGAATTCACCCTCTCCTGGTGAGCGTTCTCAACCAGCCAGCTTTCATGCCTAACACTTACCGTCTCCTGGTGACCGGTCCAAAGTCACCCCTCTGGCTTTCCTGCCTAAAGCAGCACTGGAACTCTCAGCGCCTAGTCTCTAGCCTGATGCCTTAACCACTAAACCAACCTGGCTCTTGTCTGATGGAAAAATACTCTCGATATAGAGCAGCTTCAACATATTAATGCGGCACCCGGGGAGATGTTGCAAGTATACATAAATTATTGCAAAGCGAACCTGGGAGACCGTTTTCCCACAATATGTCACATTACAGCCTGCTTTCATTTCAAATGTTGAATTGCTAAGCAAACCCCACTCCCCAGACAGAGCAACTCCAGTGAAGGAGGACCAGATTGATCTAGAACGGAACGGAACAGAACAGAACAGAATATAGAATAGAATATAGAATAGAATAGAACAGAACAGAAATAGAACATAGAATACAAAATAGAATAGAATAGAAAATAGAATAGAGTAAAATAGAATATAGAATAGAATAGAATAGAATAGAACAGAATATGGAATAGAATAGAATAGAACAGAACAGAAATAGAACATAAAATACAAAATAGAATAGAAAATAGAATAGAAAATAAAATTTCTGAGTAAAATAGAACATAGAATAGAACAGAATATGGAATAGAATAGAATAGAACAGAACAGAAATAGAACATAAAATACAAAATAGAATAGAAAATAGAATAGAAAATAGAATATAAAATAGAATAGAGTAAAATAGAATATAAAATAGAATAGAATATAAAATAGAATAGAATATAAAATAGAATAGAATAAAGAATAGAATAGAATAGAATATAGAATAGTATAGAATAGAATAGAATAGAATAGAATAGAATAGAATAGAATAGAATAGAATATGGAAAGAATAGAATAGAAAATAGAATAGAATAAAATAGAATATAGAACAGAATAGAATAGAGAAAGAATAGAATGGAATGGAATGGAATAGAATAGAATAGGAGCTGGAAGGGACCTTGGAGGTCTTCTAGTCCAGCCCCTCTGCTCAAGCAGGAGATCCTATACTATAATCTGTCATTTCCTCTCCCTTGTTTGGGGCCAGAGAGTCCTTTAGCTTCCAATGGCTGAACGGCCTGCAAGGGTTCTGAAGCAGGAAGAGGGAAGGGCGCTTATTCCATGGGGGTCCAGCCTCTCTCTCTCCTCCACCTTCAGCACGGGGTCTCAACTTGGGCAACTTTTAAGACCGCTGGACTTCAACCCACCGAATGGCTGGCTGGGGAATTATGGAAGTCGAAGTCCACACGTCTTAAACTTGCCGAGAGGCTGAGGCACAGACCCACAGGAAGTAGGGCTCCCTCCTCCGCCTTGAGCGCATCACCCGCCCGCCTTCCGGCCTGAGCCCTACCGCATCTGCATGCCGGTGCTCCAGGAGCAGACGTCCTTCCTGAGCAGGAGGTTGTTCAGGGCCACGGCGTTGATCATGTAGAAGAGCTGCTTGATGGCCTGCTGGACGATCTCCGGGTCCAGGCCCTGGTCGTACATGACGCTGAGAAACGTGTTCAGCTGGCGGAGGATGGCCTCCAAGCTGTAGGCGTTCTCACTGTCCCCCCTGCTGGAGCTCCGCTTCCGGTAGCCCATCGGCTTCACCCCCGACAGCCCCTGGATGCTTTCGTTCTCCAGCACCGCCGTCACTGAGGGGGAAAAGAAAGAAGTCCTCCAAAGGTCAGCAAGGTAAGCCCTGCAAATTCTAATTTTCTCTCAACTGTTCACAATAATAATAATAATAATAATAATAATAATAATAATAATAATAATAATAATAATAATAATGAGGAAGAGGAGGAGGAGGAGGAGGAGGTTGGAAGGGACCTTGGAGGTCATCTAGTCCAACCCCCTGCTCAGGCAGGAAACCCTACACCATTTCGGACAAGTGGCTGTCCAGTATCTCCTTAAAAACTCCCAGTGTTGGAGGATTCACAGCTTCTGGAGGCAAGTTGTTCCACTGGTTAATTGTTCTCACTGTCAGGGAAGTTTCTCCTTAGTTCCAGGTTGCTTCTCTCCTTGCTCAGTTTCCATCCGTTGCTTCTTGTCCTGCCTTCAAGCGCTTTGGTGAACAGCTTGACTCCCTCTTCTTTGGGGCAGCCCCTGAGATACTGGAAGACTGCTATCATGTCCCCCCTCGTCCTTCTCTTCATTAAACTAGTCCAGGGGTGGGCAACCTTGGCTCTTTTATGACTCGTGGACTTCAACTCCCAGAATTCCTGAGCCAGCCATGCTGAGGGGAAAGGGAGAGGTTTCCAAGCTGAGCCAGGCTGGCTCAGGAATTCTGGGAGTTGAAGTCCACGAGTCATAAAAGAGCCAAGGTTGACTAGCTCTGAACTAGACATATCCAATTCCAGCAACCGTTCCTTATATGCTTTAGCCTCCGGTTCCCTGATCGTCTTTGTTGCTCTTCTCTGTACTCTGTGGCTCTTGCCTCCCCCTGCCCCCCACGCTCCCCTCCAATTCTGGGAACTCTGGAATTGGAAATCCACCAAGTTTGCCAAGGTTGGAAACACCCCCTCCCCCCCGGATGTAGACAGTCCTCAACTGTACTACTCGGCTGAGTTAAGTGTGCCTTTCACCTATCATGGGCTGCAAGACGCCTTCGGCAATCTTGATGAGCTGCTGGTAGATCTGGATGGAGAGGTCACTCAGGACCTGGCGGTACTCGGCGAGGTCAAAGTTCTTCAGGCAATGCTCATTCTGCTTTGGGGTATTTTGAGTCATGAAACCCTGCAAAGGAAGATCAAGAAGAGGTAGCAAGGTTAACGGCAGGTCGGATTGCAATTATGAAGAGGAAAAACACCAAATACTGTAAGGTTGATAGGTAAAGCAAAAGTTTGTGGAGCAAATTCTGAGGAGAACTGGAACTTTTGGGCTAGATTTTAGGGGGGGGGGAACCCCATACATCAGTGTTTCTCAACCTTGACCATTTTAAGGCATGTGGACTTCAACTCCCAGAATTCCACAGCCAGCATCGCTGGCTGTGGAATTCTGGGAGTTGAAGTCCACATGCCTTAAAATGGTCAAGGTTGAGAAACACTGCCATACATCAAAGTTCACTTCCAAGATGGCTGCAGGGTACAATATAATTCTTAGGGTGCCTAAAGAGACGTTGGAGGCTCCAGTGTACTCCGGTTACTTGTGGGGCAGATCCCTATGTGGTAGGTCTGCTACTAACAGCTTCCCTCCAAGTGACAAAAGAGGCCTTAGTGAACACTTGCGAGGTCAAGAGTGAAATCTGGAGGTTTTATTAATGTTTTATATACTTACAAAGTGTGGAACAGAGATCAGGAGGCAGGGAAGGAAAACCGGGACTCTCCTTGCCTCGCGGAATTTTCATTTTGATGTTAGTTCACGAAATCAGGTAAAAATGGCCTCTTGTCTACTACCAACAAGGCAGACCCGTGAAGGCTAACTCAGAAGCGAGTTCAATAAGGTTTATGTCCAGGAAGTTGCAAGGTGCATAGAACAAAAGCTTTGCTTGTTCTTTTAATTAGTTACATGTTCAGTCCAACGGTCAGATCTATAATTCACTAACATTAGCAGATTGTCAAGGTTGGATGGCTAAGGTGCCTGCTAACCTCTATCCCTATTCAACTTGCCATAGAAACAGGGCGGAGGAGGGGAGAGCTTGGGAAAGGAGCAGGAGTCTAAGAAGCTGTCCGTGGGCCGTGAGAGTCAAGGTCACAAAAGCAGATGTCTGACCGGAGAAGTGGACCGTTCTCATAACACAGGGGTGTCAAACTCAATTTCATTGAGGGGCCACATCAGCATTGCGGTTGCCCTCAGGGGGTTGGGTGAGTGTGGCCAGGGTGGGCATGGCCTACTGGATGGGTGTGGCCTACTGGGTGGGCGTGGCTAGCTCTACATCATTCGCATCAAGGGGGCCTGTGGGGGCCTGGGCAGGAGTGGGACAGATCTGAGGGTCTCTGGCAGAAGGGGGTGGGACGGGGGCAAGCGCCAAGGCATGGTCCATTTCTTCATTCCTCACAAAGGGTGACCCCTCCCCAGCATGCACCCAGCGGGCGGGGCCGACGTGGCAGGGGCTGGTTCCTCGCTGTTTCCAGAGGGCCTTGTGGAGCTAAGACTGAATGCATTTCAGCATAGATGGCCACCACAAAATTGTACATTGGCTCCCGGCCAGCCTGGGCCAGGACCAAGGCAGTGGGGGCCGTTCCCTCCCTGTTTCCAGGATGGTTTCGTGGGCCGCATGAAACCACTTCGGGGGCCGCATCCGGCCCCCGGGCCTTGGGTTTGACGTGTCTGTCATAACATATCATGGAAGTGTGACTGGGCAACGTGAACACTAAGACTTAAGAGACTGAAACAAACCATGAAGTTTGAGCAAGTGGGTGGCTCGCTTACGAGGGAGGACAGGGACCTGCAACTGCCTGCCTGAGCCGGTGAGCCTAAGGGCGGGGAGACAGTTGACACAGATACCCAAACTGGAATAGCAGGTATGATTTCAAGCCCACATTTATAAGAGGCAAAAACATATCCTAATAGCAAATTAATTTCCCCTGGTTGACTCTTCTATCCCTGGAGAGGTAGGAATGAGACAGTATGAGATACTTGGATGACCTTCTTTACATCGCAGAAAAGTCCTTAGCAAAATTCCTGCTGGTCTGAACGGGAGTTTATTTACTCTAATCTGGAAATCTCAGACATACAAGTCAGCAATCCTTGACTTGTGACCAGAATCAGGACTGGACCTTCTGTTACTAAGCGATGTGGTCGATCAGTCAGTTCACACCTCATTTTACTAGCTTTTTTTGCCATAGTCATTTAAGGGAATCACGCCGTTGTTCAACGAATGCAGCTTCCCCCACTGACTTTGCTTGTTCGAGACCAGTTGGGAAGACTGCAAAATCGTGATCATGTGACCCGGGGATGCTGCCACCCTTGTAAACTCACACCAATTGCCAAGTGCCCAACTCGCAATCACATGACTCACAGGGACACTGTAACCATGGGTAAGTGTGAGGACTAGTCTTATTCAACGCTGTGCCCAGAGTTGCTTTGAAATGAGATGAGCGGCAAACAAATGGAATCAATCAATAAGTCCCTTTTTTTCAGTATTGTTGTTGACTTCAAAAGATGGCCAAATACAAACGGTTGTAAGTCAAGGACTACCTGTACTGTCTGACCATCCCTTAGGGCAGGGGTAGGCAACCTTGGCTCTTTTATGACTGGTGGACTTCAACTCCCAGAATTCCTGAGCCAGCTATGCTGGCTCAGGAATTCTGGTAGTTGAAGTCCACCAGTCATAAAAGAGCCAAGGTTGCCTACCCCTGCCCTAAGGGAGATTCATCCAAGAGAGATTTTTAGCACCGAGGCCCTCGTCCTTGGTTACCCCGCTGCTCTCACCGTATCGCCGCTGTATTGCTTCAGACAATGGAGAAGGCGACTCGTGTTGGACAGCCAGAATGACGTCATCTCAAAGTCCTCGTTGTGTTTCTATGGAGAAGCCAAACAAAAGACCGTGGATCTTTTCCTTTGGTCAGTCATGCCACGAAAAGGATGGGCAGCTGGAAACACAGAGCCCTGCTCTGGAGCCTCTCCAGAAAGTGGCAGGCAAGGAATCGTCATGAGACAAATAAATCATCGCCCGGGAGGGCCTTCCCTTGAAATGTCCACCTATTATTTCCAAGTTTTGTGTTAGGGTTTCAAGGGCTCTGCTGGAACAAAGTCAGATCAAGGCGTCTGAAGGAAGGGCCTAGGGGCAAAAGAGCTGAAGAAGTGGCCCCGAAAGGTCCCTAGAGATGGTTCTAATGGGCTTCCTTCGAATGAAGTTGGCTAAGTTAATCGATCATAACAAAACTTGCTACTTTTCCAATTGGGACTTTTCTCATGCAATCTTGTGAAGGCTGCAAAATTGTGAAGACTGTACTGGAGGCACTATTACAACAACCAATGTTGCATGCCCCACAAATAAACTCTATTTTCCACTTCGTCTTTTATCTTCTACTTGTTCCCTAGATACCTTGCGTCATCTCAGAGATATATACCATCCAATAAACATACCAAATAAAGTGAACCCCCCCTTTTTTTACCTTTAATACTTTTTTAATGCCGTTAATAGTGGAGGTAAGCAACGAGTGCACTTTTTGATCATCATTAATGTAATCGGCGTGTCTGATGCACATAAAAAGGATGTAGGCGGGCAAGCAGGGCACGGTGGCGGATACCGTTTGGGGCTTCAGATCTGTGAGCAGGAAAGAAAATCTTTCAACAACGGGATCCCTTAGCCACTCAAATACAAATTCTATACTGATGGACCTTGGACACTTACCTGAAGCAAAATGAGTCACAGAATTATTTTTATTAACTGATCTCATTCCTCTACTATATATATATATATATATATAAAGATCTGTCCTAGTTTGAACAATCCAATTACTGTATTCCTATTATGTACTTTGGAGTAGAACATGCTATGCCAAGAAAAAAAATGGAAATGAGTAATGCTCCATGATAAATTGTTCAACATGTAAATCAGTTTTTCAACTTAATCTTTTAACGTGACATTTATGCTTCTTCCCAATGCTATAAAGACTTTCTCCCTGCAGTGTTTCTCAACCTTGACCATTTTAAGGCATGTAGACTTCAACTCCCAGAATTCCACAGCCAGCGTTGCTGGCTGTGGAATTCTGGGAGTTGAAGTCCACATGCCTTAAAATTGTTAAGGTTGAGAAACACTGCGTTTACAGGAACAACAATGGTAGAGTCAATTACTTGGAGAAAGTGCTGGGTTACCTTCCACTGGAGGCATTTAAGACAAAATAGACAGTCCTTTTTTAATGTGCATTTCCCCGATGGACAGGAATGAGATTACTTGACTACTGACAGTAGGTAAATGCCCCCTTCAAACTCTACAGTCCTAGAACTCTTAGGAATAGATTTGTTCTTACTTTGGCAGCAAACTATTACAAACCCCATTTATGACCACAATATTAAGAACTAGGTTGAGAAACTAAACAAAACCGTTTACCTGTAATGAGATTTTTTATGAGCGAAGGCTCCTCTTCTTCATAATATTCTAACATCCCCTGGAAGTCTTTTTCCTTCCTTTGGACGGCAACGTGCCGACTGAGTTCGTGTTTCCGTTTTTCAGACGGTGTAGTGGTTTGATCAGCTGGGAAAGACAAATCAAGAACCAACACAACCCCTTTCAGAGATGGCCTGAAACAGCCGCCCTCGCCAGAGGCCCCTCCAAGCTCTGGTTGACTCGGTGGTCTGCCCCAGCACCTCGGAGCTACAAAAATGATAACTGAGGTAACCCAAATATAACACAATTATAACAAATATAAAAAGCCAGAAGGAGGTTGTGGAGCTGTGTAGTTCCTTCTCATCTGCTTCAGAGTAAATTCTAAGGTAGAAACCAGTATTACCTTGAAATAGAAATATGACAACCCACCTGTACTCTAATACAGGGGTCTGCAACCTCGACAACTTTAAGACTTGTGGACTTCGGCTCCCAGAATTCCTCAGCCAGCTAGGAATTCTGGGAGCTGAAGTCCACAGGTCTTAAAGTTGTCAAGGTTGCAGACCCCTGCTCTAATGGCTATGATTCATATTGAGCTCTCGTATCATGAAAACTAATTATGTGCCATCAAGTTATGTTTTACTCCTAGCAACCACATAGACAGGAAGCTAAAACATGCGGTCCATTTCCTGTCTTGTGGAGAGTAGCATTTGGGTTCCTGTAAATCTCATCTCCAAGTCTTTCTCCTTTATCTGCTATTTCAGGGGTCTTCCAACTTGGCCCTTTTATGACTTGTGGACTTCAACTCCCAGAATTCCTCAGCCAGGCATGCGTGCCTGGCTGAGGAATTCTGGGAGTTGAAGTCCACATGTCATAAAAGGGCCAAGTTGGAAGACCCCTGCTCTAGAGAATACATATATATCACTATAGCATTAGACCAATCTGCTACAGTCACACATATAAAAAGTAAATAACTTCCATTTCTTAATAAGAAGACGAAGATAGTAATCAAATTATGGCTTGATAACCTTGCTAAGGATAATAGGTAATTCCTTGCTTCCTTCACCAGCGAACAAATGCTGCAGTGGTGAAATGCATTAAAGAAATGGACTCTAAGACACAATTCAAGTAACTTTGTGCCAGTCAGTTTCATGCCTATAAATTATACTGACAGGAACCAGCTATGCTAGTTGCCATGATGTAGAGTCTTCAATTCCTTTGGCTGAATTTCATTTAATGATCAGCTTTCTGGAAACCAGGTTTTTGGATCCAAGCTGCAGTAGCTAATCACTCCGTCAAGCCCTCAAAATCAAAAGAATATATTTCTGATATGCCGCTTCTCTTTTCCAGGACTGCAAATGCATATATAGCATTCTCTAAAAATCCACCTTTGGTGCCAGGAGAACCAGCAGGTGGAGACATTCTCCCTGGTACCGGAAGCAGCAAGACCAAAGCAGGGCTGGGAATAGCAGAGGAAGGGAACTTTTTAAAGTTTTCTAATCCTTCCCCTTTCAATAAACAGAAACAGGAAACATCCAGTCGGTGAAGATGGCGTGCAGAGGGGCAATGCAGCACTTTAAAAAGCAAAAATATTTTTCAGATTAGAGAGGGGGGTTAACCTGGCACCTGCCAGCCACCTCTTAAAAAGCAGCTGAGACTTCGTAGAATTATATAGGACAGTGGTTCTCAACCTTTTTAATGCCGCGACCCCCAACCGGTCGTAAGTCGAGGACTAAACCGGTCGTAAGTCGAGGACTTTCCCTGCCCGGGAGTGCCGCGCATGCGTGGTTCCGCCCCCTGCGCCGGCCGAGGCGTAGCTGGCAAGCGGCAGAGACGGAGCAGGCCGACCACCAGCTGGCCCAGCCCAAGGGAGGTAAGGCACCCGCCGGAAAAGGGGGGAAAAAATGGCGGACAAAAAAATGGCGGACAGCCTTGCTTGGCGACCCCCATGAAATGGTCGATCGACCCCAAATGGGGTCGCGACCCATAGGTTGAGAACCGCTGATATAGGAGCTGCTAAGGCCCCAGGAAAGGAGTTGCAAACAGGGGTTAGGCTGCACCCCACAGTTCTGCAAAGGATGTGGGAGGAACAACCAGGAATTGCGATGGCTCTTAAGGTGTCCTTGACTAACACTTCCTTTAGTGACCGTCTGAAGTTACAACGGCACTGAAAAAAGTGACTTATGACCATTTTTCACACTGACAACCATTGCAGCATCCCCCATGGTCACGTGATTAAAATTCAGACGCTTGGCCACCAACTCGTATTTATGACGGTTGCAGAGTCCTGATGTCACGTGATCATCTTTGGTGACAAGCAAAGTCAATGGGGAAGCCAGATTCATGTAACAAAACAACGTTACTAAGTTAATGATTCGCTTTACTGAGGCAAGAATGGTCATAAAATGGGGCAAAATTCACTTAAAAACTGCCTCACTTAGCAACAGAAATTGGAGTAGGCAACCTTGGCTCTTTTTTGACTGGTGGACTTCAACTCCCAGAATTCCTGAGCCAGCCACACTGAGGGAAAAGGGAGAGGTTTCCAAGCTTATAATAATAATAATAATAATAATAATAATAATAATAATAATAATAATAATAATAATAATAATAATAATAATAATAATAATAATAAAGTTGGAAGGGACCTTGGAGGTCATCTAGTCCAACCCCCTGCTCAGGCAGGAAACCCTATACCATTTCAGACAAATGGCTGTCCAGTCTCTTCTTAAAAACTTCCAGTGTTG